TCTCCTCTCCTCAGGACTCTCTGGGAGGCTCAGCACACAGTATCCTCATCGCCAACATTGCTCCTGAGAGACGCTTTTACCTAGACACCGTCTCTGCACTGAACTTTGCCGCTAGGTCCAAGGAAGTGGTCAACCGGCCTTTTACCAACGAGCGCCTGCAGCTTCATGGTGAGGACAAGGGGAGGCACAAGTGGGAATGCCACCAAGCACCATCACGGTGGCTGCCCATGTCCCACCTCCCTTGCAACGCCTCGATTTTCTCCTAGTCTTGCCACCTGTTAAGCTTTCTCAGAAAGAACTGCTAGGCCCATCTGAGGAAAAGAGGACCCGAGGCTGTGAAGAAGAGGACACTGGGAGCCTGGAGCCTGCAGCAGCGCCAGCCCCTGCCTCCCAGAGATTCAGGTGAGTGGAGGGTGACCCCCTTCCCCACTGTCTAGGTTAGTGGCAGAGATGGTGAACTTGTGTGTTGCTGCTAAATCGGGGATCTCAGGAGGCTTCCTTCTGGGGCTCCTGGCCCTCTCCCTTTCCATGTTCCAGTCCCTTTACTCAGTCAGCAAAACCTCACATTTTGGGGAGCTGTTTCAAAGCAGTTTTGCCTCTGACTCAAGAGTCAATTAGGTCCAGGGGATAAGAGCAAAGCCAAGGCCAGGATGAGGTGGAGAGGTCTCACAAGACTTCTGCATCTGTGTGGGGCCAGCTGCTGTCCTAATTCATTCTGCTTCTGCTCTCAGTTCCAACACAGCCTACATGCCTTGTGTGTGTGGTCCCACCTTCTGCCCTGTATGTACCAGTCCTCATGAGGGTTTCCTCTGTCTGGTACCCTTGCATTCTGTTTGGCCACTTGATCTTGAGTCGAAGAGCCAGCTGCAGTTCTAACTTTGCCTGTTTCTACCCTTTATCCAAATAAAGCCTCTCTACTTAAACTGTGTAAACACTAAGACTCTTGAACAGAGGTGGCCTGAGAAACCAAGAACCGATGCACACTCTACCCCAGGAGGCTGCTACAGTTGAGGAAGGTGTTATGCACAAAAGGTGCTTGCTCACTCGTGGGCCCCTCTCTCGATCTTGCCTTTCCAAAGCCATCTGTCCCTGGTCCCCTTCTCTGTGCACAGACTGAAACTTCCACGTGTGCACGTGTGAGTAGCAAGCTCTGCCTGAGGAATTCTGGGCACGGAGAAGGTCAGAGCTGGGGTACATCAGACCTTGACAGATCCAAGGCCAGGCACAGGTGGACAGTATGAAGGACACAGGGCTCTGCTTGTTCTGTAAGAGCCAAGAAGGAAGAGGTGACATCTATCTAGTGTTTGCTCCACATTTTCTCAACCTGTTATCTTGAGCATTTGCACATAAAGAATAGGCCATAGGCACTGTCTTCAAGGAGCTAGTTCACAACTTACCAAATAAATGCTTAGTTATGTTGGGCATCACAGGGAAGGAGGCATCAAGCTGACTGAAAGATAATTAAGAGGGAGGGGAAAATTCCAGGCAGAAGGAGTGAGTATTAGACAGATAGGACTCTGCTTGAACAGGCCTTTCCTGCCACTCTTAGGGTACAGGTGTGGTTTTTGAGGTGTAGTACCCATCAGCCCTGCTAAAGATGACCTCTGTGACTTTTCCCAACTAGCCAGGCCCTCAGCTCTGTCACCCTATTATGGTCTTTTACTTTCCTTATTGGACAGTGAGTGCCTCCAGTAGTAGACAGATTTATAGCTTCCTAATACCTAGCACGTAGGTGTTCACTAAGTGCTTGTTCTTGTCCAATATTCTGGCTTCTCCAAGAGGTTACTTCACCTGATGAAGACACTGTCTAGAGCAGCTGGACTTGTTCCATGCTGCCCAGCAAGCTTCCATCAGAATTATGGACCCCGTGGCATATACAAAGTTAAGGAATGATGAGGGGAATCCTGCTGCTGGAGGTGGTGGTGAGAGGAGGGTAATGGGGATTCATTACTTTGTGCAGCCCCCTGCAAAAGCTAAGCAACATGGACCCAGCCATGCTGGAACGCCTGCTGAGCTTGGACCGCATGCTGGGCTCTCAGGGGAGCCAGGGGACCCCTCTGCTGAGTACCCCCAAACGAGAGCGAATGGTGCTTCTGAAGACAGTGGAAGAGAAAGACTTGGAGATTGAGGTAAAGTGTTGGGAGAAGCAGCCAGGATCTCACTGGCCAATCTTAAAGACCTTCAGACAGGGAAGGTCGTTCAGGTTGGACTAGAGTTTTCAGGATAGATTGGAAATTTTTTGGCTTTTGCTCAAGTGTCATTAACATGGCTCAACTTTGAAAAATAATTGGCATCAGTGTGAAGAGGTGGAACCCCCCCTTCCCCATTACATGTTAATTTCCTAAAACCCAGTTTGTATTAAGGACCTTGCTTGCTAGTCTTTCACTTCAGTATTTCCAGAGGCTTGTCTGACCCCTGGATGGCTCCCGGTCATCGGAAGACCCTTACTTAGTTTGGGCTTCACCTGTCTCCCAATTGAGCTTCTCTCATCAGCCCAAGTCCTGTCTTCTTGGGCCTCAAACTCTGCCTGGTCACCCTCCTAAATTTGCTGCCCTAGGGTTGGGTTTAGGTCACATCTCTCCTTGTTTCTTTCTTTTCTTTGGTACTGGGGATTGAACGCGGGTCCTTGCGCTTGCAAGGCAGGCCACCGTCTCCTTGTTTCTAACAGAGGCTTAAGATGAAGCAAAAAGAGCTGGAGGCCAAGGTACTGGCCCAGGAGGCGACAGAGGAAGAGGAGAAGAATTCTCTCTCATCAGTTCAATCCCTTTCCCACCGCACAGTCACAGTGGCAAAGCCACTGAAAAAGGCTGTGGTGATGCCCCTACAGCTGAGTAAGTGCAACTCCAGGGGCCAAGAAGACACAGATAACCCAGATCCCATGAGGGAAGGGTGTTAGTGGGAGCAGCTATCCTCTTGCCACTGGTGCCCTCCCACCATAGCCAGCCCCAAGGAGCACTGAGAAAGAGTGCTAGGTGCCTTGCCCTAGTGCGGGGACCTTTTAAGAGACCAAGTGACCCTGAACTGCAACCCCAAACCCCTTACTGATCAAAGTGCCAATACTGCCATTAAAGGCGAGTGCTCAGCTGCTGGGGTGATGCTGGGGCAGCTTGGCTCACATGTGCCAGAAGGCTCTGTATGGGCACTGCAGCATGCACGCCATAGATTCACCACCAGTGCCCTAGGGTGTTTTAGTACAATGGGGCAAGTAAGTGCAAGGTCCTGAGTTCGATCCCCAATACTGTGGGGGCGGTTGTGGAAGCATGATTAGTGGTTAGAGGAAAACCAAAGAATCAGAAATGGGAAAGGGAGCAAAGTGGCCCCTGGCCTGGCCCCAGTTCACAATTCTTGCTCTCAGTTCAGGAGCAAGCAGCATCTCCACACACTGAGATCCACGTCCTGAAGAAAAGAGGGCGGAAGAGAAAGGTGAGAATAACTCGAGACTTAAGTGACACCTTAAGCCTAGGACAGGTAAGGTCTGCGCGAGAGACTGGCCTTGGAAGTACCTGACCTGTTGAGCCAGCTGTCTTCCAACTTGCGCCTGAGGGGCAGTTAGGACGACTTGGACCCATGTGGACACAGCCCATTCAGTGGTCAGCCACCACCTGTCAGTCTCCTTCTTTTGCATCAATCCTATGCTCTACAAACTTAGGGAAATACGGCCTACACACTTTGAGTCTTAACTCTCGCGTGTGCGTGTGCACACGTTTACACACGAAATGTAACACGAACTAAGCCAAAATCGAGGATGTGGGGGGGGTGCATATTACTTACTGCCTCCTCCCCTTTTCCTGTGAGGCGGAAACTCCACTCTGGCCTGGGGCTCAAACCAAAGGCTTCACACTGGTCCCACTTAGATACATCCCCAGCCTGTGAGAGATTTGAGAGCACGCTTCGTGCTTTACACTCCTTAATCCACTGGGTCTTCACAGAACTGTTCTTGAGAACGGTGCTAACCTAGCACCACCTGAAGTTAGCTGCAGTGAGAAGCCCTGAGCAAAGAGCGGGCCAGAGGGAAGGGTGCACGCGGGAGGCCATTGCATCTAGGCTCCTCTTGACAGAGGAGCGTGAAGTGCTTCCCTGCCTTTTGCCAATCACTCCTTGACTCCTAGCTGAAGACCCTCGATAACTCAGAGCCTCAGGAGGAGGAAAAGGTTGAGGACTGCTGGGAGCTACAGATCTGCCCCGAGCTGCTGGCCCACGGGCGCCAAAAAATCCTGGATCTGCTCAATGAAGGTTCAGCCCGAGACCTGCGCAGCCTGCATCGCATCGGCCAGAAGAAGGCCCAGCTCATCGTGGGGTGGAGGAAGCTCCACGGCCCCTTCCGTCAGGTAGTGAGCGGACAGATAGCGGGGAGGCTGGGTGGACCGCGGGAGGCCTCGGACCCCGCCCACCGCCCCTGTCCCGCAGGTGGAGGACCTGGAGCGCGTGGAGGGTATCTCGGCCCGGCAGATGGAGTCGTTCCTCAAGGTCAGGCCCCGCCACCCCG